TCAAACAAAGATTAGATAATTCTCTTTTCGGAAATAACATTATGGGATATAATACTTAGGTAGTTTGGGACAAATGAGCAAGTGACCACCAGGAAGGTGGATGGCGAACTAGATAGACCTAACTTACACACTACTAGATGTATTTATTTACCTCCCCGATCCCAAGCTCAGTTCTGAAACACTAATTGTCTAGCGCCTTGGGATGTCCTCCCGACGTGAAAGGCGCTATACAAATGTAATTGTGTTGTTTGTTTTTGTTACGATTGGATAGTTCAAGAAAGAATTCACCTGTGCGTCATCGCTCATCAAACATCAGTAGGATATGTTTAGAAACAGAATTAAGGAAGCACTTGAGATTTTATCATGAAATGTGAGCCTGTCGAATAAACAGAATGCAGTAAACTCGCACAAGTCTTATCTTTATAAATTGCATAATCATCCAAGTGGTAGATAAAACTGAGTCCCATTCAGTTTCCTATCAAAACTACTTAAGATTTCTTTGCACTAGTTATATTAATCATCTCCTAATTCGTAACATGCTCCCCTACCCTCCATTACTCCAGCACTTATCGGCTATATTGAATCGCAGGAAATGACGTCCTGACCTGTCGATGTCAGAGCACTAACCAGCCAGCCGCATTAAATCGCAGGAAATGTAATCTTGATTCGTCACCACCTGCCCAGAAGAACTTCATTTCCCGGATATAAGTTCACATGCGGCGACGGGTCAAGGCACATTGAATCCAAGAGAAACATAGTCTTGGCCCATCACCGCTTATGCATTTCCCAGCTGCAGTGACAAAGTATCGCATGCGCCGCTTACCGGCTGCATTGAATTACAGACATGCAGTGTAGATTTGGATTTTATACAATTTATACAAGTTTGCCGATAAAATGTTATAATCCTAACCGGTACGACTTATGTAAGTTTTACTGTATCTAACATGACAGTGAGTTTGATCAATTGTGAATAAAACTACAATGAGTCATTGTGCCACCAAATTATTAGCCTTTCACATCTATAAAAAAATTGCCATGACTCAAAATCACCAATGTGCCACCCTACAATTAGGTCACTAAATTGCATGCCAAAGTCAGGAAATTGGGATATTCAGTCTAAACATACCATTAAGCACAGGTTTAAATATTTTTAACTACACTTTCCGTATAATTTCTTAATTATCATAAGCCATAATTGAGGAATGGAATTCACAGTATTGCAAAAGCAGAGATTGACACTCTATTCTTGGGTAACAAGCCTTACACCTCAAGACATTTTGCCTCTGCGACCATTTTGTTTGCATGCTACACATTTACAGAAAATTCAGAGCAAGTAAAATAAGCAAAAGTATATTAAAAAAAGCTGACACTTTAACTATGCGTATCATTAGAAACCAAATCACGTCTACTTTAATTAGTAGAATTACTTTTGCAGGTGGGAGAAGTTTTGGTAGCGCTAAAATGACAGGTTAAAACTAACATTTATAAAATAATTAAGCTATTGCAAAGTTCAGGCATTAATCGAGAGAATGCAAAGTCATATATTCCAACTGTCATCAATTTTACTGTCAATTGTCAACAAGTTTAAAAGCTGTCCTTTACCCTTTTGGCAATTCTTTCCTTGATTTTCCTCTCAGTTTTCCCCCTTTTCCCATCCAACACATATCAGAGATCAAAGCTTGTCTGGATGGATCAAATCTCCACCTATCCACTGAGTTACAGAAGTCTTCAGAAGTAAAATATAGTTTGATAACCAGTATTATACAATCTGGCATTGTATGAATACAATGCTATTACATTAGTGAAACATACAATTTAGAGATATGAAATTAATTCTACACAACTAAACAAAAATATGATTACATTATTTTTTCATCCTTCTGTTATGATTTATAGAAGTTAGCTTATGCTACAAGAAAATAATTCTGTATCCACTTTAGAACTTATATTTCCGTATATCTGTGCATTTTGCAGTAAATCCTGTAAAGCACATGATAAGGTGCTATATCAAATGTAAAGATTATTATTATTAATAATAATTATTATTATTACTATTTCCAAAGATTTACGAACACAACTATTTGTCCCCATTGAAGATGTAAATTCTTTATATGAAAATACATGAAAAAATATAAATTTCTTCTTGTAGGATTATTGTCTATTAAGGAGTCAGTCAGCTTGGTTCATTTGGTAGCACTCTTGCTTCTGGGTAAGAATATTGTGCGTTCAAGCCCCATGTTGGAACATGTGCTCACAGCCAGGCTGACACTCCATTACAGTACTGAGGATGATCATATTGTCAAATTGATTGTTTTCAACTAAGAAATTAAACCGAGCTCCCAAGCTGCCTGTTCAGATGGAAGCACATGACTCTATTTGAAATGAGACAGGAGTTTTTTTTTCGCATTCTGGCCAAGTCTTACAAGCTGATTCCTCAGATTCCACTGCACCGCTACCAGTTGTTACCCTGTTGCCAGGCTGGACTTCTCAATGCTACTTCCCAAAGATTCCCAGAAGCAGAACAGGACCTGGTCCTCTTCTGCTGCTGCTAGTTCTTCAGGCACCACTTTGCTGTCCTTTGTGTTGCTTTCTACAGCTGCCAGTACTGCAGACACAATCCTGGAGCCAGATTCTCAGTCATTTGAATTCCACACACTCCTTCCTCAGGTATAAGTGGTTCCTCCCGACGTGAAAGACGCTTTACAAATGTTATCTTGTTGTTGTTGTTGATGTTGTTGTTGATCCCTCCAACATACTGGAACCAAATAAAGCGTCTTTCTGTGATTGGACCAAAGTCAGTCAATCACAGGAGAAAAGGCTGCCACAAAACCAGAAAATGACTGAATAGATTTGCTCTCTGAATCCTGTTACAGCCCAATCTAATGCCACATCACAGAATCACAGAATTATACAGCACAGAAGGAGGCCATTCAACCCATTCTGTCTGTGCGGCTCTTTGAAAAGAGCTTCCAAATCAACCCCACTCCCCCACTCTCTCCCCATAGCCCTGATCAACCCCACTCCCCCCTCATAGCCCTGATCAACCCCACTCCCCCGCTCTCTCCCCATAGCCCTGATCAACCCCACTCCCCCGCTCTCTCCCCATAGCCCTGATCAACCCCACTCCCCCACTCTCTCCCCATAGCCCTGATCAACCCCACTCCCCTCATAGCCCTGAGCAACCCCACTCCCCCGCTCTCTCCCCATAGCCCTGATCAACCCCACTCCCCCGCTCTCTCCCCATAGCCCTGATCAACCCCACTCCCCCGCTCTCTCCCCACAGCCCTGATCAACCCCACTCCCCCGCTCTCTCCCCAGAGCCCTGATCAACCCCACTCCCCCGCTCTCTCCCCATAGCCCTGATCAACCCCACTCCCCCACTCTCTCCCCATAGCCCTGATCAACCCCACTCCCCCCATAGCCCTGATCAACCCCACTCCCCCCATAGCCCTGATCAACCCCACTCCCCCGCTCTCTCCCCATAGCCCTGATCAACCCCACTCCCCCGCTCTCTCCCCATAGCCCTGATCAACCCCACTCCCCCGCTCTCTCCCCATAGCCCTGATCAACCCCACTCCCCGCTCTCTCCCCATAGCCCTGATCAACCCGACTCCCCCGTTCCCTCCCCATAGCCCTGATCAACCCCACTCCCCCGCTCTCTCCCCATAGCCCTGATCAACCCCACTCCCCCGCTCTCTCCCCATAGCCCTGATCAACCCCACTCCCCGCTCTCTCCCCATAGCCCTGATCAACCCGACTCCCCCGTTCCCTCCCCATAGCCCTGATCAACCCCACTCCCCCACTCTCTCTCCCCATAGCCCTGATCAACCCCACTCCCCCACTCTCTCCCCATAGCCCTGATCAACCCCACTCCCCCCATAGCCCTGATCAACCCCACTCCCCTGCTCTCTCCCCATAGCCCTGCAAACTTGTCTTCCCCAAATAATTATCTACTTCTCTCTTAAAAGTTGTTATCAAATCGGCTTCCACCAGCCTTTCAGGCAATGCATTCCAGCTCGCTCTGTGAAAAATAAATTCTCCTCATATGACTCCAATGCCACATAAAGCTACAATTCTCATGAATGCAGTATGGAGAGGAAAGCTCTGGATAATATATATCAAAAGGAAAGTCAATTCTGCAAAAAGATGTCTCAACAATTAGGAATACAGTATCTGCATTTGTTACTTTATCGCAGTAATGTAAGTATGCAGGGGCAGAAAGAGCTGTTTGAGGGATAAGTTAGGAGTGGAACCAGGACAGTGTCGTGCCACAGAGGTTGAGCCGAAAGGAACATGAAGGAAAGATAATGGAGAATGATGACAGTGTCAAAATCTTTGAATAGGTGAAGGGAGCTAGGAAGTCCTGGTTGCAGAGTGAGAATATGTTACTGGTAATCATTAGAATGAAAGATGGAAGTCATTTTCAAGCATTCCCTCTCCAAAAAGACTGCAGGATTGATGCAGAATAAAACTTCCCTCTGTTCTAACCACAAAAGGGCCGGAGAAACAGTACCTCCTGTAGCACCACTGTGAATTCCTCCACTTCTCAGACCTTACATTACTATGGCCAGTTCAAGTGAGTTTGTTAATTTACTATGAATTTGTGCTGAACTATGAGTTTAAACTATCCAATGCTATCATGAAGGACTTACAGGCAGCAGAGAAATGTCATTTTCATTCCATCAGTATGGACTATTCAGACTCAGAGCCCATAGCTGAAAATGGCAGTACAATAACCTATAAACCTGATGTTTAAAAGAGGATGCACAAGAGAGTAAATCACCTTTCATATCGAGCTGAAAAGAAAAGTAGGATTGCTGAAAAAAGACATCACAGCACATGCAGAACTTACAACTAATTGATCCAACAATTTTAAGTGGCGATACTGTAAAATGAAGCCTTGTTGGATGCACATATTTAAGTGATTAAGAGACTAACAAAAATATCTTAACTGTAACAGCATGCACAGCATTTTACAGGATTTAGAAATGTAGAAGTACCATGTTGGCCTGCTGGTGGATTTCACAACTGGTGCCATTCCATCTCTGTACAGACTCTTGGTTTTGCTGAAGTTGACAATGTTGAAAATGACCCTCTGAAAAGAATCGATTGAAAATAAAATTAATTAAAAACTAAAATCTTTTGCCACTTGCGTATTCTAAATAAAGTACCAGTTTTGGTCTGTGCAAATAATAGCCTGCTAGAATAGATTTTGTTTTTAGGATATTCAAATACACAGATGTACAGTATTAGATTTAACATTACATTTTCCTTGAACCTGGATTGTGGGTTTACAAATAGCAGTGCTCATATTAGCTAGGTATGTAAAATCTGCAGTCAAATATCTTTTCAATGTAATTGACTAGATACTCAGCCTGTGTGAAATATTCATATCATGTAAAGTACCATTTTTACAATATCAGGAACACAACTAATCACAAAAAAATTACTCTTATTATAAATAATACCTTTGACAGTTTTTCAGTATCTATTTGGCTATGCTCTTGTTTCTTAGAAATCATCTTTTTTCAGCCGATTAATTTGATCGTATCTGAGATGCAATATAAAAATATAATCAGCACACACCGTAATACGATGGGCCAATATCTCTAATATCAACACATTGAAAAAGATATTGCAAAATATGGGCTACAATATCCTGTGCTACATCTCACAATCTCATGAATCCGTCAGCATCTCTAATGTATGACTAGACTGTATGTTTCCTTTTATAATTATGGATCAAGAGTCAGAATCTGAGTTATAGTGATAGTGTAAACTACAGTAGATAGAAATACAGATTTCAATTTTTTTGATACCTCAGTTAAAGTAGCCATTTCTTTGTTAAAATGTAGTATTTTAAACATTCTTATGCTTTGCAATAATATCTTATGTACTGCAATGAAACTACTCCTCTAAGAAACACAAGGGTATATTAGTTTTCTCAGTTTCTTTTACCCATGGGAGGACCTTTCAGAATAAGAATTGGCAAAAGTCTTATTTACCACCGTAGAGCTCAAGTTTGATTTAGGATGTCTTTGATCATTTGATGGCCCCAAAACTTTCATATATAGACCAGTTTGCTTTCATGGCATACTACACTATCCTTAAATCTTGAATGCCTTTTCAATCCCAAAAGTGAACTCCTGAAGTGATGTAAACATAACATGAAAGTAACGAAAAGATGAATATCACACACTAAACATCTTTCTGAGTGGAATGGCAATACCAAACATCCTGAATTCAATCCTGTCAACTAGTAGGAAATAGAAAATGTCAGATACTTTTGTAAATTTAAGCATGAGAATTGATGACTGGAAAATACAACATAATGTGACATGTTTTAGAATGATTTTGAAGACAAAAGCTTTTGCATTTAAAACAAATAGCTATTCCAATAAATAAACACATTCCTAATTATTAGATCATTTTTAAATACTTTTATAACTCCCGAATGAGTAATATTATCCAAAATGCCCAGCATTTTACATTTGCAAGCTTATTATCAGAAAATGTAACAATGTGTACACTAGGTTTGATTGAGCTGTCCCTGAAGGTTAAATAGCCTGTCAAGTTTCAATGAAACGGTTCACACATGAACAATGGTCACTTGGATGAAGTGCTGGAGGGTAACCAGCACTCATGAAACAACACTGCCCTAGAAGAAAGAAGGAGTAAAGTGCCTTGAAAGAAGGGAGGAAAATTGGTAAGAAATATCTCTGTCAACACCTATTTCAAATCGGTAGCCATTGATACATACCTTCCTTTTGTTTTCCAAATTATTCCAAATGGGATGCACAATATTGCAATAGAGCAAGCAGTTATGAGAGAGGGCTCCAGTGTTCAGTCTCATTGATTTTATTTATAAGCTCTCAAGACAATGCTTGTTCAAAGATTCAGTGAAACTAATTAAATGCTATTATTGCTACAATGTTATTTAATAAAATAAAAAATATTCCTTGCATTTGATGACGTCTTCTAGACGTCTCAAAGTGCTTCACAGAATATACTGTAAAGTGAATTGACTATTATTTGTGGGCGAAATGCGGCAGCCAATTGCACACAGCAGCGTCCCACAAACAATGGTGGCTTGAAGTGACCAATGTTTATTATTGTTTTTTATTCTTGAGGTATTATTATTATTAGGTGTGTGGAGTAAGGAAACGTGCCCAAGGTTTCGCCCCGCCAGGAATCGAACCCAGGTCTCTCGCTTGCGAAGTGAGTGCTCTAACCACTGAGTTACAGTACTATTTGACAGTACATTATCAGAATGGCCCCCTGCAAAATATAGAACATCTTTTTCACTTTTGCTGAATTGACACTGTTTTTGTGCAGCTGAAATTATGAGAGTGACTTAACTCAACTTGGATGTTTAGAAGCAACACTCAAACTCTGCAGCCAAAGTTTATAAAATGTAATCCTTTTCAAACTGCAGAATACCAAATAATAATGTCCTAAAGTATACGCTTCACAGTCACTCGTTCAGGCATTCTGATAACTTTAAGTTCCATAAAAATATCAATCTCCACTTTCAGTTAAAAATGTAATTTTGTATGATGGAGCTAACTGTTGTCAAATATCTATTTTGATCCCTTTTAACGCTTTCTACAGAATTTAGTGTTTTTGGATATTGTATTTGGACATGGTCCAATAATAATAGTGCACGGCGGCAGCAAGGCAGCACTTCAAACCTCCTCTGAAAAATATCACAAGTAAAGGCCACAATAGGTGAACATAATCAGTGTCTTTCTACAGATGATTTTAATCAGCAACCCTATTTATCATTGAATAATTTCTACAAAATGCAAACTTCTTACCTCTCTATCCATATTGACTGAATCATCCATTGTTGAATAATTTTAAATTAAATACTCTTCCCACTTCTAAGCAAGAGTTTATTCATTATTAAAAATGAATTATTCTTTAAACACTGTGTTGTCTGCCATCAATAGGTACATCATAAATTAGAAACATGGAAAAACTATTCAGCTCATCAAGCCATTCCTCCACAAACCATTCCATAGCCCATGTACTATCCCCTCTAATCCCACTGCCCCACCTTCCTGACATATTGTTACTCCGCAAAAATTAATCAATTTCTCTCCTAAATCCCTCAATTGATTTTTCATCTATGATGTTCTATATTCCAGATTCTTAGTAATCTCTATAAGAATTATTTTCATCTCCATCCTATCCTGGTTTTGCCTTCGTTTTAAGGCTATGTTCTTGGGTTATTGTAAAGTGAATAGAAGAAATCCCAAAGAATCTCTGGACGATCAAGGATCATCTTTTAAGTACGTAAAGCAGCTTTTCTAACCTTTCTCCGGAAATACAGGTCCAACTCAAACTGGAATCGAAAAAACATTTTAATGCTATTCCTTATTAAGGAATGGAATGTTTTTAGAAATAATGCAATTTTGACCCCATTTATATTTTTGTTATTATCCTATATATACAACTTTTTAAAACTTACATAACAAAACAGTTTTATACCTTTTTTAAAACATATGGGAAGATTATAAAAGGGCACAATTAGACGTATTGAGCAGTCTGTATAGGTGTATCTCTATATGTCTTTAATTAAATATACTTAATTTTAGATTAATTTTGTGTCTAATGATATTGATTATAATTCTACTGCATAATCGTAATTAAATATTATCAATATCCCCAGAGGGTTTTAATTTAATTAAAGTCATTTGACATAGCCTTAATTAAATATTAAGTAACTGCCTTCCGATGTGTTCTAGTATGTGTGTGATTTAACCTTCTCCCTACTTCTTCCACTGTCTAATATCAATCTGATCATTTATCCACATGCAAGTATCCTATTAGCAGCTTGTGTGTCTTGCTGGCGCTTAGTTACAGTAATTGGTGTATGTGGGGGGGAGGGGGGGTTTGGTGGAGAAGGAGAAAAATGCCAAAGCAAATAAAGCAATTTGGATTCAGTGACAGTTTTCTTCTTGTTTCCAGTTCTTTTTAGTTTTTCTATGCTTGACTATATGCCCATCTAGGTGTTGTAATGGTTCAAAATTATTTTTTTTAGAAATTGTGAGATTTGATTATTTATTAAAATATGCTGAGCTTTGAGAAATAAACACCTTTCTAAACCCAGGATTATATCATCCCATTTAAAGTTTAAAAACTTAAAGCAATATAATCTTTAAGAATTTTTGAATAGTAAGGTATTCCTATCCAGTTCAAGCAGTGTTTTGAAACACTATTATATCTTACATGTGTGCTCCTTTGCAACACCAAGGTCCATGTTATTTCTTGCCCAGGCTTTGAGATAATGCAATTTTACGTCCATTTCTGCCTCTTATTTCAGCAGTAACTCGATCTTGCCCTCTATTTCTAAATTATGTTCACAGATTCTAATCTCCAATCCATCCACCTTCTTTCAGTTCCTCGTACTTGTTATTGTTAATCATATGGTCATCATAGCTGCATTCTTAAATGAACAACCTTCAACCCTCATTTTCCATTGGTTGACATAAAATGGATAGGGTGGCTTTTTAGATACACAGACCCCCAAGAGTCATCGGCTGAGAACTAGAGTTGAAACAGCGGCATCCCTGGAGTAGATTAAACTGTTAAGAGATTTTATTTCTGTACGTATGATTTACTATACAGTACTGTGTCCATCCTGGAATTTGGCTAATTGAAAGAATGTTTATTTCCTGAAGGGGAGTGCAAAAGGTGTTAAGTCTTTGTGATTTTTATCAGATGAGTTCACATAACTCAACTTCAGACAGTTTAGTTAACCTTTTGCACGACAGAAGAACAAACACAGCATCTAACTATAGATGGTATAAATGGGGTTTAGTAACCCTACATCAATGCAGAATTTCTACAAGATATAATTCTTTCAAAATTCACATTTGGGAAGCTAGTCAAACATTTAAATTTGCAATATCAAATGAAAAAGTGAATAAGTGAAAGTACAAAGCTATGTTTCATTGAAAATTCAACAATAATAATAATCCTTGCATTTGATATAGTGCCTTATCATGTTTTCTAGATGTTTCAAAGTGCTTCACAGAATGGACTGCAAAGTGAATTGACTGTATGTTTTGTGGGCGAAACGTAGCAGCC